GACACATAGTGAAAATAAATAAATATAGTGTACACATGCAAATTTAAAAATGTACAGTGTAACCAAACAAGATTCTGAAAGGAATATTTTGGCGTTCTATTTTATAAAATGCAAACATACTAATTGCAGTCCAATTGTGTTTCATCAGTTTGTGAAACTAACAAATAAATTGACTGGATTGTCTATAGCGCCATTCTTAGTAGTTTCCCATGCACATTTGCAAATCCTAACGAAACCAATAAAAATTATCTTGAAGAACACAGTACATTACTCTATTGCCTGTAGGTAATGCAAATACATATTTAGAAAGGACCAGTTCTGTTAAGCTTTTAATAATAGAGTGTACAAATGAGATGAAAACTCCTTTCATTTGCTGTACTTCCAGACTGCTTGTGCCAAATCAAGACTAAGACTGCAAATACTACAGGTTTTACAAACCAAACCATTGTGTCTTTTGACTTGGCAAAGAAAAGGCAGTAATCATGGCAGCTAAATGCTCGGAAATATAGTAGCACATGTAGGTGAAAACCTCATTAGCTACCTCAGATTAGTGCTAGAAAGCTTAATGACATCTGCGTCTTCCAGAGTAACCCAGACAGGCAAGGTCTCCATAAGCTCTTGGTACTGTAAGATTAGATAAGGTTTACCGCTGACCTTAAATGCTTTAGGAATTTGTGGTCTGAGATGCAAGATAAGATTAATGTTACTGGTACCTGGGGAAGATGGTTACGGGGCTAATGGTCTCTTTTATATTTGTATAATTGTTAGCTGTCTTTAGACCACCATTTTGTATTAATAAGTTGTATTTTAGTACTTGGAGACACAAGTCTGCCTTTCTCTTGGTAACTGAACTGATGCCCTGGCAGGTTAAGCTAATGGTGGGTAGGTCCTCGGGTAGGAGTTCCCAGGGTGGCATCAAATTGGGTCATCTATTCTTCTGAACCCGCCTCCTCAACTTGCCACAAAAGCAAGAATCTAAAAAGACAATTCAAGAATGACAAGAAGTGCAACATTAATAACATTCAGAGAACAAAGAGAAACATCAGACTAGTAGAGTAATTCTGGGAAAATACGGGACGTGGAGAAGGAATTTGATGACCGGTCCACACATGAGACTCATCTGGAGAGATACTTCTCACGAGGCTAAGGACTCTCCAAGCTGTGGTGGATTGTTGACGTGGAGGCTGAGATGGGATGTAGGTCTTAAGAAGCTTCAAGAACATGGGTGCATAATAAGAATATTACTATCATTACTATTATTTTCACTATCATGCTCAAGATAAGAGACAAGTTTCTTTTGTAGGTTCTACACCGGGGTTCCATGATGGGTGTGTAACAACACATTATGTAACCATGGCACATTGTGTAATAACTCAATAAATTGTAACAAATTGAATGATGATAATAATGATGATAATAAATTTGTAACAGTTTGTGGAGTATTTACATAACGTGGTGTTATTACGTAATGCGTTGTTACATGATGACTGTCACACCAGCAAGCAGAGCGTCAATCAACACAGCTCCGGACAACTAAGGGAATGCCCACACTGTAAAACCGATAAGTTCATTGAACTTAAAAAAATTGCTGAAACTGATTACATCGAACATTTTAACAGACTCCAACTTATTTATTTAACTTACAGAAGGATTCTTTATTAAGTAGCTTTAACTAGATAATTATGTGATAATTTGATTTTTTAAGTTGAAATATCATTCTTTTCAAAGTTATTGTTACAAGGTGTTTTGCCTTCACAGTGCAAATTAAAATTAATTAAAGATAACTTATTTTTTTATTCCCTTCATAATGAAGTGCCTCTCCTGGAGCCGACACCTTATCGTGGTGGAGGGGTTTGCGTGTTCCAATGATCCCAGGAGCTAAGTTGCCCGGGGCTTTATGCCCCTGGTAGGGTCACCCAAGGGAAACAGGTCCTGGGTGAGGAACCAGACGAAGTGCAGCTCATCAGACCTCTTATGATGACAAACAACATACATTCATATTTTTCCTTGCCCGGACACGGGTCACCAGGGCCCCCCCCTGGAGCCAGGCCTGGGGGTGGGGCTTGATGGCGAGCGCCTGGTGGCCAGGCTTGCACCCATGGGGCCTGGTCGGGCACAGCCCGAAGAAGACACATGGGTCCCCCCTCCAATGGGCTCACCACCTGTAGGAGGGGCCATAGGGGTCGGGTGCAGTGTGAGTTGGGCAGTGGCCGAAGGCGGGGACCTTGACGGTCCGATCCTTGGAGGCGGAGGTCGCTGAGCTGGTTAAAAACCATGAGATCCGCCCGGAGTTCCTCAAGGCTCTGGATGTTGCAGGGCTGTCTTGGTTGACACGCATCTGCAGCATCATGTGGACATCGGGGGCGGTGCCTCTGGATTGCCAGACCGGGGTGGTGGTCCTCCTCTTCAAGGAGGGGGTCCGGAGGGTGTGTTCCAACTATAGGTGGATCACACTCCTCAGCCTCCCTGGTAAGGTCTATTCAGGGGTGCTGGAGAGGAGGGTCCGTCAGATAATCAAACCTCGGATTAAGGAGGAGCAGTGTGATTTTTGCACTGGCTGTGGAACAGTGGCCCAGCGGACCAGCTCTATACTCTCAGCAGGGTCCTGGAGGATGCGAGGGAGTTTGCCCAACCAGTCTACATGTGCTTTGTGGACTTGGAGAAGGCATTCGACCGCGTCCCTCGGGGAGTCCTATGAGGAGTGCTCCGGGAGTATGAGGTGCTGGGCTACCATATAAGGGCTGTTCGGTCCCTGTATGACTGGTGTCAGAGCTTGGTCCGCATTGTCGGCAGTTAGACAGACTCGTTTCTGGTGAGGGTTGGACTCCGCCAGGGCTGCCCTTTGTCACCGATTCTGTTCATAACTTTTATGGAGAGAAATTCTAGGCGCAGCCAGGGCGTTGAGGGTGTCCGTTTTGGTGACCTCAGGATTAGGTCTCTGCTTTTTGCAGATGATGTGGTTCTGTTGGTCTCATCAGACCGTGACCATCGGCTCTCACTGGAGCAGTTCGTAGCCAAGTGTGAAGCGGCTGGGATAAAAATCAGCAACTCCAAATCCGAGGTACAAGTCATGGAGGTACGTTTAGAGTCATAACTGCCTATAATTGCAAAATAATCCCTGCTGTCTAGGTACAATTTGAAACATTTAAGGGCTGTACCTGATAGGACCACCAAGTGTTCTAACCTATCATGCAATTTTTTATGGTTAACTGTGTCAAGGGCCACACTGACATAAATATCACTGTGAATAAGAACATCAACATAAAGTTAAGATAATTAACTCAACTCCCTCTGTAACATCCAAGACATAGTTTGTGAAGTGTAATGACAACACAAAAACTGTGTAAAATCATACTGTATCTTTATTATTTTTATCGATATCATTGCCTTTATTCTGTCATT